TTTAACTCCGACGAACGTAAAGTTTTATCTCGTCGGCCTGAAATATTTCGCACATAAGGTGTTAAGTAATTTTATTTAATTTCTAATAAGCAATAATTATTCGCGATTATATATATATATATATATATATATATATATATATGTGTGTGAATAGGTGTAGTACTGTAATTAAATCAAGAGACGAATAATATTAGACAATTAGATCATTAAATATCTACACGAGTGTGTTAACGAGTGTGTCAAGATTTCAATGATCATTTTCGTTTGTAACAAAAACGCTTTATCGTCGTCGAAAGGATAAACTACAATATCCAGGAATATAAATTGTATTTGATAAAGATTTTTATTATTATTCGAAGAAAATATTTTTCTATAATAAAAGAAATATAATAATGTTTTTATATATACATTTATATATATATATATATATATATATATATATATATGTATATATATATATATATATATCATTTCATTAAAAAAAATTTTTGTCTACGAATTAGCGAAACGAAAGAAAGAAAGAAAAAATAAAAACGAAAAGAATGAATCCTGACATCTCCCAATCCTTTTTTTTTTAATCATCCAATTTCTCCAAGAACAATTCGAACTATCCTAGGATTCATCATCGTTTATAAACGTATAACTCTAAATTATAGTAATCTCGATTTCCACTTTCTAGAAGAATACAAATGCGCTCTTTCTCTCATCTTTTCGAACGCCCGCTATCATTCATCCACCTAATTATCTATCTATTCCCTCTTACTTACACAGAAAGATACAAAAAAATGAACTCTCGTGATATTTCTCCTTTCTTTCTTTATTTATTTTTTTATTTTCTTTTTCTCCCCTCTCTCTCTCTCTCTCTCTCTTTCTCTCTCTTTCTCTCTTTCTCTTTTTTCTTTATCAATCAAATACAGCTCCATTCATAGTAATTAATTTATTCGATTTCTTTCTTGTCCTTTTTTTTTTCTTTTCCTTGATTCTTTTTTTATTTTCGTTTCTTTTCATTATCCTCCTATCTCTCTCTCTCTTTCTCTCTCTCTCTCTCTCTCTCTCTCTCTCTCCCTCCCTCCCTCCCTCCCTCTTTCTCTCTCTCTCTCTCTCTCTATCTCTTTCTGTCTCTCACTCTCATGATTCTTTCTATCTCTCTCTCTCTTTTTATTCATTCTTCTCTATTCATTCGAATGATATTTTTCTATATTCCATTTCTCTTCTTCTTCTTCTTCTTCTTCTTCTTCTACTTCTACTTCTACTTCTACTATTCCAAGAGACCTAATTAATTAAGGTCAGATCGACTAATTTTCAAACCTTTTTTCCTGTTCATAGGACGTCCATTGGCACCTTACGACAGTGGTATCCTAGGCATCTTACGGGCGAACATGGATTATCGTCAGAATCGAAATGAGTCGAGGAAAAACGAGGATGGTCGTGGGGGGCCCTATTGGCAATCAGGCAGGATGTCTTATCATTGTCCACGTTGTAACGCCGGATACACTTATAAGAAGACCTTGAAGACCCACATGAAGTATGATTGCGGAAAAGAGCCAAGATTCAAGTGTCCTTATTGCAATAAAAGGGACAAGTGTTCGTCGAACATTTACAAACATATAAGAATGCGACACGATGGGCTACCAGTGATAGTTCATCGGAATTAAAGGAATTAGATAGAGAGACAGAGAAAGAGAGAGAGAGAGAGAGAGAGAGAGAGAGAGAGGGAGAGAGAGGGCGAGAGAAAGAGTGTGAAAGAGATATCGGAATGGTTGATGAGAGAGATTTGATCAGGGATGAATACGATACTCATCTTATTTACAGATCTTATTTCCCTTCGTTGATCTTCTACGATTATCATGATACAATTGAAAAGGAATACGCGAATGTTCCTTGGAAAGAAAGGAAAGGAGAAAAAAAAAAAAAAAGAAATAAGATCGAAACGATCGAAGTGATCCATCGGTCGATTTTAGTTGTAAAAATAATAAAAGAGATCGCATTGTTGTATTATTTGTAAAATAATTTTACGTATGTATGTATTGTATGCACGTATGTACGTATGTACGTATGTATGTATATATGTACATCATCGAAAATTTTAGATATCAGACTTCTTTGATTTTAATTTTTATCCTTATTTTATTTCGTGAATTTCCGAGAGAGAGAGAGAGAGAGAGAGAGAGAGAGAGAGAGAGAGAGAGAGAGAGAGAGAGAAAGTGTTCATTGTCCTTGTATTTAAAATCCATCATTTCTTAATGGATTTAAAGTTCCTATTCACTCTCTTCGTCTGTGTCTCTTTGTTTGTGCGTGGCTGTGTGGTTATGATCGTATGGGTATGTATAATAAAAACCAATGAAATTAACGGGTCAACGAACGATAATAAGAATCAATGAGAAATATTATCGTGTCTAATGTACGCGTGACTTTAAATTGATTTTAAGCCTGTCGTTTCTCCTTCTTTTCTCTTTCTTTTTTTTCTTTTTGTTCTTTTTAATTTTTTGTTTTCTTTTCT